GTTGGGACGAGAGCAGCTCCATCAGCAGCGGTTTGAGTGATGGTTCAGAGGAACTCAATGCCAGCTCGTCTCTCAACTCCCTGCCCAGCACACCTGTCGGCTCGCGACGCATTTCCTCCGTCATGGTAAGTTTTGTGTGGATCAGGGTTTTGTGCACTGAAAGGTTTGGGTCTTGTTTTTGAACGTTGCTTGTTTGGATTTAGTAGAACTTGGCATAAATATCTACTGGAATACACTGCTAGTTAATAAATAACCAAGCAGGTTTGAGACATCATATTTATTTTGCACAAAAACATGCTTAAATGTTCCAAATGGGATACATTCAACTTTAGATTGCAGCTGTTGTAAAACCATGCAGACAGTGGAAGTCTATGGAGCAACACACCTCACTTTTTCTGTTTGATTTTACAAACTAAGAGATAAGAAATGTTTTCTCATCCAAATAATCAAGTCAGTCATGTTCCTAGAGTTCCTAGGTCTGTGGTTTAGATCAGTCTAGATCAATCTACAACTTAAAATTATGCAACAATTTGAATATGAAGTTGGCCATATCCTGTCCATGAGTTAGAAACATTACCTGCTGTTGGTACGATTTTTTTTTTTTAAGAAATTCATACTTTTATTCAAAAAGAATGCGTTAAATTGCACAAAAGTGACAGTAAAGACATACATAATGTTACAGAAGATTTATATTTTAAATAATTGCTGTTCTTTTGAACTTTCTATGCATCAAAGAATCCTGAAAATACATTGATAATAATCATAAATGTTTCTTGAGCAGCAAATCAGCATATTAGAATGATTTCTGAAGGATCATGTGACACTGAAGACTGGCGTAATGATGCTGAAAATACAGCTTTGCATCACATAAATAAATTACATTTCACAGTATATCCAAGTAGACAACAGTTATTTGAAATTGTAATAATATCTCACAACATTTTCTGTTTTTACTGTATTTTTGAACAAAGAAATGCAGTCTTGGTGAGAATAGATTTCTTTCAAAAACATAAAAAATAAAACTCACCAACCCTTTTTACTTAACTGATCATATGGATAATTAGCAATGAATTTTGTTCATTTTTCTTCTGAAATGAAATATGAACATGCAACCAGTGCTTAAAAACTCAAACTGGATGCGGGCACCAAGGCACATATTAAAATGACTTCCATATCTGTTTTTGACATTGTTTTTCAGTTCCTTCTCTGGTAAACACTGACATAAAATAACCTCGGAGGATTTGTTCAGTGTCGAGACGAGAGAACGCAAGACGCCTTGACAGTTTCAGGCTGTGGTTTGGTGTTTCTGCCATCTTCAGTTTAACGTGTCTCTGGTTTGGTAGTCTGCTGTTTTTCAGTGGTACACATACAGCCTGAACATCTCTACAGCTGATAAAAAGCTAAATGAAACCGTTTCTGGTCTGTTTTTGTCACACTAAGTTGTTAATGTTATAGAAGCATCACAAATAATGCAACACAAGCAAAGTATGAGACACACGTGTATCACATTCCCCCCCCCTGCAGTCAAAGTCAGGCCGGGAGAGCCAGTACTTACTTTAAAAGCCTGCCTTTGGTTTTCTTGGATGAATTAAGAGCAGCTGTTTCCCATTGGGCACGTCATTTGCTTGTTTGAAGCGCTCGCTATCAGTTCACCATGAAATCAAACCTTTGTTTTCCTCGTCATTAGAGACACAAATGTTAATTCTCATACAGACAAAAAGGGAACAATATGACTTTTAATAGATTTCTGTTGCTATGGTAACATGATCATCATAGCATGGTTACATGAAATTTTGAAGATGTTTTTAATGTGCCATCTTGTCTTAACTCTAAGACGGTGTGAAAAGAGAAATGTCATATTCTTGACATTGGCAAGTGCTCGCAATGCGATGTCCAACGTTTTTATCCATAATTGGCATGTTATATATAATGCAAAGTTATTTCCATCTGAGAAATGTGCTCTGTTTCTTTCATGTATCATGACTGTATGTTTTACAGTCAACACAGAGGATGGCTTTGGATTGCGGTTATTACATTCTAGATAACAGAAACACTCGCATCATTCATAGTGTATTTGTGTATTTCAATGTGTTATGAGGCCTCTGTCCATTTGGTTTTACCTTGGAAAAACGTTACTTCATAAATGAGGGGAAAGTAAGTCATAAATGAGCTCGCATGGAAATATGCACTTAATAATGTCCAAGTCATAAAGTATAGACTAATTATATATATAGACTAATAGACTAATTCTATATAATTCATGTATGAAATGCATATATTTTATCATTTTTAGGGTCAAGATTTTATAAATGTTTTTGAAAGACGTCTCTTCTGCTCACCGGGGTTGCATTTATTTGATCAAAAATACAATAAAAACAGTGAAATATTATTATAATTTAAAATAACTGTTTTGTATTTGAATAAGTTTTCAAATGTAATTTATACCTGTGATGCAAAACTGAATTTTCAGCTTCATTACTCCTCATTTAGCATCATTACTCTCATTACGTCTTCATTGTGCACCTTCAGAAATCATTCTAATATGCTGAGTTGCTGCTCAAGAAACATTTCTGATCATTATCAATGTTGAAAACAGTTGTGCTGCTTCATATTTTTTTGTGGAAACAATGATACATTTTGTTTTTCAGGGTTATTTGATTAATAGAAATTTCAAAAGAACAGCATTTATTTGAAATGTAAATCTTTCATAGCATTATAAACGTCTTCACTGTCACTTTCGATCAATTTAATGCATTCTCGCTGAATAAAAGTTTTCATTTCTTTAAAGATAAACTCAGACCCTAAAGTTTCGAACATTAAAATGTTGTATAGTATGATCTCCCATATTAAATCTGCCCTTCTAACAGACGCTGTACCCTGTGTGTGTGTGTGTGTGTTTAGTTGCGGACGGATGCAGAGAAGCGCTCTCTGGTGGAGAGTGGGCTGGCGTGGTACAGCGAGGACAGCAAGTCCTTACGGACAGCTGATGGAGTTTATGACACAGGCAGCCTAAAATCAGAGCCTTCCAGCAAGTGGAGGAAAACTCGGCTGCCGGATGGTTTTGCGCAGGACAAGACAGGGAAAGGAGAACTGAAGAAACCTCAGAGTCTAGGACAACCTGGGAGCTTCAAAAAGGGCCGCAATCCTCCTGTGGGCGTCACCTCTCCTATCACACACACTTCACAAAGTGTGCTAAAAGTTGCAGGTAATGATGTTTTTTTGTTTGTTTTTTTTATGTTTATTTTGTTGTTATTTTTGTGTTTTATTTAAACATTTATTTTATATAATTTTTTGTTTTGGTATTTTATTTTATATTTTGTTGTTATTTTGTTTTTTTTGTTTGTATCTTGTTATTTCTGTTTTATTTTATTTGCAATTTAATTGTTGTATATTGTTTTTTATGTTATATGTCATATTTTATTATTTATTTATTTGTTTGTTTGTTTATTTTATGGGGGTATGTGTGCTAATATTTAGGTTTTAGCTTTGACATAAACAGAATGTATATTTGGATTGAAACATATTTTAGACATAAATTCATTAGGGGGACCCGTTCTTGGCAGCAAAACAAAAATTTTTTGTTCTCCAAACATGCATCTTCACTTTGTCATCCAGCATGCAGCTCCAGAAGGATTATATATTAATGGTACTATATCATGAGTTGGAAATGAATCCGTCAGACAAACTTCTATGGTTGTTTATGTTACTGCTGTCATCCATAACCTGCTATAAATGAAGACCATGTGCTATACAGAGTTTGGTGAAGTGTCTCTTCAGCAGATATCAAAACGATGACTCTGGTGGAAACTAATAAAGAACCACATGAAAACTATCGACTTAACTTCGATAGTTCAAAGTTCTATCATCATTTACTCATGCTCATATCAATCCATGTTCAGCTTTTCTATGCAATGAATGAATGCATACAGTGACCAGGGCTACAAGAATAGACAATAACAAACCTTAAAAGGACCATAAAGGTAGTCCATGTAACTCAGTCTTCTGAAGTCATATGATAGATTTCTGTGAAATTTAAGTCATTAGCCACAAAAAGGGGGGGATCCTCCTCTTTGCTGCATCTTTTAAACCTCATTAAGTCATGCTGGTTTAGTATTACATGAGGATGCATAAATCAGGGTGAATTATTCCATTAACTCTTCTTCATGATGTTTTTGACTTTCCTCAAGTGCCTGAGCAGATTTCTTGAGAGAGAAGCCTGTCAGGTTTATCTTTTCACCATCTTCCACTGATGCAGTTTACCTGTAGGCAGCCTAACCTTTCTATGCTGGATCCATAGTTTACAATGACATTTAAATGTCAGCGATCCAGTGTACTTAGAAGAAAAACAGCAGCTGTTTGGCACCGTATGGCATTTTACTTTGTCATATTGACGTCCTGTTATTAAAGTACCTCACAAATGGCAAAAACATAATCACCAATTTAAGGAATATAAAGCCTAGCCTAGTTGGTTTCTGTTGTTTTTGGGTTGTGTGGCCATGTAACGTAGTTTGTAGATTGGGAAGAAGGAGGCGGGAACCGGCGAACATTCAAAGAACTTTGAAGTAAAATTACTCCCTATATATAAAGAAATTAATACTTTTATTCAGCAAGGATGCATTAAATTTATCAAAAGCGACACTAAAGACATTTATTTATTAATGTTACAAAAGATTCTATTTCTATTTCAAATTGATTCTGTTCTTTTGAACTTTCTATTTATCAAAGAATCCGGGAAAATAAAACGTATCACAGTTTCCACAAAATATTGTTTTCATTATTGATAATACAATAATAAATGTTTCTTGAGCAGCAAATCAGCGTATTAGAATGATTTCTGAAGGATCATGTGACACTGAAGACTGGAGTAATGATGCTGAAAATCCAGCTTTGATCACAGGAATAAATTACAATTAACAATATATTGAAATAGATCCTAGTTATTTTAAATTGTAAAAATATTTCACAATATTACTGTTTTTACTGTATTTTTTGATCAAATAAATGCAGCCTTGGTGAACCTAGGAAAAGCATTATGTATGTAAAAAAAAATGCATACTGAGCACACACTAGCTATACACACTACTGTATATACTGCAGAAATCATAAGAGTAAGTATATACTACTGTATGTACTATGTAGTAGTATGTAGCTATTCAACTAAAGTCTGGAAACCATAACGTTTTCGTTATAAACAGTATATCTAACAAATGTGTTTTTAAAAATATTTTGCATGAAAAGTGTGCTTGAGTGATCTCATAATGCCATTTTCAAGTGGAAAAATTGAAATTATATGCAAAAATAAATCATAGATAATAAGCAGGCATGTTTTTCAGGGATTTCCCAGCATGCCACGCTCAGATAATGCTCTCCGCTTGATGATAGTTTATCCGTAGGCACTTTGAGAGCTTCTGTCATTAGTGTTCGTTCAGTGATTAAAGCTTCATAGAAACTCATCTATCAGTAATTAGTCCTCCAAACGTCATTAAACCTCATTAGCTGACAAATTCTTGCTTGCTATTTTTGATTGTAGTATGCAGATGTGTGTTGTGTTGACGCACTGCTCGGGTCACGTGTGTGCTGGTGTTTAGATCTTGTGTAGGCCGAGACGCTCTTTATCTTTGAAGTGTCTGTAATTAAATACAGATGCCTGCTTGCCCTCGTCTTCATCAGCGATGACTCACACACTGTAGATTTAGGCCACAGAACCTTAATCATGGCTTCAATCGGGTCCTCTCCATGATATTTAAAGGTACTAAAATAAATGCAATGGGATATGTCTAAAAACATTTGGTATTTCCATCCTAGAGGAAGATTTTTTGCTCACAGGTTGCTTTTCATATTTCATAATAATCAATGTACGAACATCCAAAGGTTTCTGGGTTTTGCTTTCATTTGGATTTGGCTTGTTTAAAACTGTATGTTTTAAAAGATAAATAGTGTTGTTAATGATGACTAAAGCTAAAACTATTACTTTTTTGGTTAACTGAAGTCAGTGTTAGTTTAGTTTGGCACACTGTTGTTGTTATTAATATTTTGAATCAATTTTTATTTTTATAGCTTTTTTCTAGTTTTTATTTTTATAGCCTTTTCATTTGAATTTCAGTAAAAATCTTTAGCAAAAATTGTGCTTTTTGTCATTTTCGTAGTTATTTCAGTTTTAGTTATTTTAGTATATCAAGTCAAACTAAATACTGAAATAAAGCTGAAATAAAATCAAATATTATATATTAAATATTAAAACATTTGAGACTTGAATGAAAATTAAAAATGTTGCCCTGGCAACCAACTGGGGAGAAAAACTAAATTTACTAAAACAAAACTGGAAATAAAAACAAATTAAAGCTAAATAGTAATATAAATCTTTAAAAAGTATAGCAAATTACTAAAATGTAAAAACTAAAAGTAAACCAAAAATATATAAATAAATGCTAATTCAAAACTTTAGTAAATACCCAAATAGATTATAAATACTATTAAAAGAACATTTTAACGACAAATAAAACAATACAACATTTTTAATTTAGAAGAAATTTGATAGAGATATTGGTTTGCAAAAAATGGAAAAGATTGTATAGTTTCAGTTGACCTTTATGGATGAAGTAGAGAAGTCTAAATTATATAAAAAGTTGTAGATCATATCTCATTTTAAAGGAGTGGATTTTTCCGAACAATACAATGAAAATATTTTTCTGAAATGACAAAAAAATGAAGCTACCTAAAAGTATTCAGTATTTCTGAAGCCAGTGTAGTAGTGTCGTGTAAATCTAGAACTAATATTTCACTCTGCATCTATAATCGTTGGTGCTCTTGGGTTTAATGCGCATGCACAAACGAGTGGCACTTAATGACTGTTGTCTCTATTCTTTATAGTTTCTAAAGGAGACACTAAGGCAGTTGACAAGGTGAAAATGTCCGTCAAGGCATCGAGTCTCCAGCGTTCCCGCTCCGACGCGGGCCGGGACAACGAGCAACGCAAGCCTCCCTCAGGTCTGGTCAAACCCTCCGCCGGAGCCTCCTTCGGTTACAAGAAACCTCCGACCACCGGAACCGGCACCGTCCTGACAGCAGGAGGCGCCACTATCACCAGCGGCTCGGCCACTGTGGGCAAGACCCCCAAGTCCTCGGGCATCCCCATCAAACCCGTCCCAGGCGGAGGTGGACGCAAAAACAGCCTGGACGCCAGCGGCTCCGAACAGGGTTTCCTGGCGCCCAACGCTCGCGGGAGCATTCAGTATCGCAGTCTGCCGCGGCCTGCCAAATCCAGCACTATGAGCTTGACCGGACGCCCTTCCTCTCGCCCTGTTAGCGGCAGCATCGACGTCTGTCTCCTCACCCTCAAACCCGTACCGCCTCTGTCCAACACCATGCCCACCAGAGGAAGAGATGGAGGCGGCTTGAAAGCGGCTAGTCGCCCGAGCACCACCGGACCCGTCAACCAAACGGACCGAGAGAAGGAGAAGGAGAGGGCCAAGGCCAAAGCCGACCTGGAGATCAGCTGTCTGAAGGCCGAGAACCAGAGCGACAGCTGTGCAGAGACTGTGGAGAAGATCCACCGAGTGCGGAGGACGAGCACGAGTAAATACCCAGAACTGTGCTCTCCGACCAGCATGCCAAGGTACCACCCTCTGCACAAATACATAGATCAAATCAAATTCACTGCAATCAATTCATGATTTTAGTAAATAAAATTATGTATTTTTTTTTTTTATAAATTACTTAAAATATATATTAAATGTAATTTAAAAAAATGTGTATGTGTGTGTATATGTGTGTATACATTTTATTTATATTTCTATTTTATTATTTATATATTTCTTATTTATTTATATTTATAAATATTATATATATACACACACACAGAGTAAATTAATTCTGTGCAATTAATTAAATAATTTTCATTTGCCCATTTTTGTTTTGTGATGATTTTGTTAGTTCTAAATTAATGACTTTTGGCTATTAAATGACATGCTATTTATTTATTTATTTAAAATACATTTTATTTTTTATTAATCAACTGGTATAAAAGTATATATTTATATTTTTAAAATCTATATTTTTGATGCTCTGTGTTCTATACAGTGTTCTACGTGACTCAATTTTTAGTTTTTTTTTTTTTATAAAATTATTTCATTTGAAAATATCATGCAATGATTGTCATGATTTGTTAAATAGTTAAATATATTTTTTAAATATTTTTACACCTAATGCTTCTGGTCTCTGGCAATTTAAAAATCATAACAATCCATGATATTTTCAAATAATTAGGGACAACTGGGAAATTTAAGTGACTTAAGTAGCTTTGCGGCACTTTAGAAATAAAATGGGGGGAAATATATAAAATAAAGTGTTTTTTTTTTTTTTTATAAAATAGGCATAGGCAACATTTTTGCAGGAAATATTCTGCAGATGCCCTGTGTGTTTTTATTATGCAAGTTATGCTACTCAGTTATTTAAAACCCTTTCTGGAAGCGGACATCAAGAGCCTTTGAGGTTGATTTTATGGTTGGCAGCGTGTTCTTCTTTGGATGCTCTGAAATCCCTTCAGTACTTGTCTACAGAAGGTCTTTGAGTTCATGACGTTACTGAAGATGATGTTGTGGTGTTTGACTCTAACAGATTGTTGAGCAGTAAGTCTCTAGTTCATCCTCCCAGCCTGGCTCACCTAGACAAGCTCAACTCCAACAGTCTGGACTCCTGTATCACCATCCATGACCTTCCTCCAAAGATCCCTCCCTACTCCAAGCTGCAGGACCTGGCGTGCTCCCGCGTGTCCCCTCGACTCACCCCGAGCCCCGCGCCGGTGCTCCACATCGACTCTCCCAGCTGTTTCTCAGGCCAGGCGCTGTCGGTCAGCAGCTCCCCCATCCTCTACCCCAAGATGTCCGGCCTGCACCGCAGCATGGAGTCGCTGCCGCTTCACATGAGCGTCCCCACCAAACCGGATCTGGGAGAGCGGGACGAAGCCAGGAGTACTGGGACGTGGGGCGCAGGCAGCCGGACGTCCATCACTTTGGGCAACAGGTGAGTTTGGGTCTGTTTATTGGTTGTATGATGTTTCACTGAGCAAAATAGAGCAAATCTATCATTTTATATAGAATAATGAATGACTGAACCTGGTAAAACAGAGCAGCATAATTTGTACAATAGGACGCTCACTTAAAGTCCCTATTAAATCAATATTGTGGATTTTAGTTCACAAATCTTAGCTTTTTATGGCCAATTTTTATTATAAATTGTTATATTATTTTAATAATTATATTATACTATATTATTATTATTATTATTATTAAATATGTATTTACATAATAATTCAATTGATACATGTAATTAATAATATATATCTCTTGGACCAATTGTTTATAAAAAAATAAAGGCTGGAGTAATGATGCTGAAAATTTAGCTTTGCATCACAGGAATAAATTACATTTTAATGTATATTAAAATAGAAAAACGTTGTTTATCATTGTAATAATATTTCACAATATTAGATTTTTTTCCTGTATTTTTGATCAAATAAATGCAGCCTTGATGAGCATAAGAAACTCCTGTAAAAAACATTTAAAATAGTTCTGATCCCAAACTTTTGAACGGTAGTGTATATAATTAATTATATAATTGTAGTTAACTAACAAATCTCTTGGACCAATTGTTATTTTAACAAAAAAATTAATTATCCTTATTATTCTTAGTAATAATAATAATAATATGTAAATTTATCATTGCAGTTATTAATGATCAATTATATATTATTGATTTTTAGCATATTATATGTATATATATTACCAAGTTGAATAAAAATATTATTATTATTATTGCTATATGATTTCTATTATATATAATTTTGCGTTATGTACCACACTGATATTACTGTATGCACTAAATTTTCCAAAATATTTGCTGTGAGAGAGTCGCCCCCTGCTGGCATGAGAGCGACACAACAAGAGACTGAATGATTAGTTAAACAATCAGATGACCGTAATGGACTGGATATCAGTGTAATGTTTGGGGTGAGGTTTTTATACTGTATGTGCTGCTCTCTACCCCTCCCAGTTTACAAACTGATAGGAACACCTTTCCCAAGAAAGGATTAAGGTACATCTATTTGATCTAAAATCAACTAGTACAGCATTGCAATGTAAGATCGTTCTGACCCACGTATGTTATGCTTTTTTCCGCAGTCGCTATGGCAGCGGCCAATCAGAGGGAGAAGTGAGGGAACGTCGTCATTCCCACACGATCACAAGCATGACGGATTCGGAGAGCCCACCGCAGCTGCCCTCGCCGACACACGTGACGCAGCCCTTCCTGGGAAAAACACCGCCGACCAACGTGGGTGAGTGAAGTCAAACACTTCTCAGGTGTGAGATTTTACAGCAGATGCACATGACTGAGATCAGCCATCTTCAATAATGAAATGACTAGTAGTCGACCGATATGGGTTTTTTGACAGCCGATGCCGATATCTTGGAAAGCAGGGTGGCCGATATAAAGCCGATATCATTTTATTTATTTAAATTAATATTTAAGAAATTTGAAATCAGTTGAAAATGGATAAAAAATAATTGTGTAAAATAAACATACTTATACTTTAGAAGACAAAGCATTTTTCACAAATAAATATTTAATAAAAATCTAATTGAATAGGAAGTAAACACTGTAACCAACAGGGCACTCAGTATTCTGGGAAGTTTGTGTGCATTGGGAATCATATAGGCCTATATATATTTTTTTTTTCAAATAAAGCCAAGGTAACACTCATTTTACATACAGCACGCAATGAAAATGACATGAATATGACAGTGGGCAAATGCATAAAG